TGACCCCACATGCTGCTGCCACCTGTGACTGGGGACTGGGGTGGGAGTGCAGGAGCTGTGCACTATAGGGCCGGGCAAGGCTGGCCCCACTTGCTGTCACCACATACATATCCAGGGACTCATACACCCCAAGGACTCCAAGGACCCCCTCCCTACACCCCCTACCCTCTCACGCAACCCCGCTCACCATACCCCCACACACACTCACACCCTCCCACAGCCCCCACCCCAACCACATACCCTACACACCCCACCCACCATACCCACACTGCACACACACACCCCACAGACATTTCCCCACTCCCCAGCCACACTCCCACATACACCCCCTTCCCCCCCACACAATATACAAGAGTTAGACTATTTTGAGCTATTATCCAATCACCTTTAGATACACTAAACAAACATGCATACATCAGGGCAAACTATTTTTTAAAATAAAGTTAAAATAAATTATAGTAGATGTTTTATTTTTTTTTAATTTATTTGGTTTTTTCCTGATTTTCAAGATGGCAAGCCCCCTCCCAAAAGAAGTACTTCTAGGGCAACGGGAGGGACTTCCAGTGGCAAAGGTCAGGGGTTAGGGGGCGGGCCTTCCAGTCCCAAAATGGTAACAAGGAGTGGGGCTACTCTTGCTGCCCTCAACAGCTCACCAAAACTCGTTAAGTGGCTCTCCAGATGAAATAATTACGTGTCCCTGGTCTAGTGCTTCACTGGCCCTACATTTCAGCTGCTCTAACTTAAGCTCAAAGATGTGGAGCTCAACTTTAACCCACGTTACTGCTTCTTACCTGTTCTGTCCCTCAACTAGACTATTTGAGCCATAATGTATCTGTACATAAATACATGCATCATACATATATTCTGAAGTATTTAGCTCTTTTTGCACATGTAATTTTAAAGTCATTTTCAACAATCTGGTTCTCGCATGGTACCACAATGCTGCATTTCACAAAATATTTATATCCTTAATAAAGCTGGCTTTGTTGAAAAAGAAAATGCATTCAAGCAGCTCTTGTAAAATTAATATATGTAAGACTTGTTTTTAAAAGATGACAGCCCTTAAATGCTGACCTGAAATCCATGAGTGAGCACAATGTTTCAGTGCAATTCATAGCCCATTTTATAGACCCTTTATCTGTTGCCTGTCTAAAGACTTTACATACCTTTGGCATATTGATAACTAAATGCCCAGTTGTTTGTGATCTCTTTGCAGAGCTACTATCTGGTTTCACTTCTACTGGAAGCACAAGTTGAAATGGCTTTTAAAAGAAAAGAAAAAGAGGCTAGACTAAATCATATTAAAACATTTTTTTTAACCCAGAGAGAACACATACAGGAATATGACTAACATACATCAAGTCAGAAAGCATAGGCCTAAATCCTCTCATTTTATGTATAGTAATACTAATCCTAATAAATGATTTACATGTTAAACAGCCTTCAAAAGTAGAGTACACATATATTCCTTATTTGCTATCACTGGAAAAAGTAACATTTCTAAAGAAGGTTTTTAAATGATGCTAGAGTTGTATTAGGAATGAAATGAGAAAGATTAGCTCTAGTAATAAAGTAATTTTGAAACAGTTTGTGCATTTTGAATGTTATAAGCAGGGATTCTGGCTTTTTATTTAAACTGAAAATAACTCTGGAATTTTTCAAAAATTTTGTCACAATATAACTAATGAAAACCAAAGGAAATAGAAGAGTGGCTAAAATGACTTTCAACAGAATATATCTCTGCCACAGTCTGTCCAGTGTAAAAGAGATTCTGGGCTTAATTCTAGTCTCCTTTAGCTCAATGTAAACATTATCTCTTTTTAAAATTTAAATTATTTTGTTGTCAAAAAGATGAGAAAAGAATCAGGCTTTGTATCTCTTTCTGTTTGTAACCTCCACAGTTGATAGGCTGGTCCCGGATAATAGCAGCAAAATAGTAACCAGCTTTTTCTGGGTGGTTACTCACAGCTTAGAATAATACATTTTAAAAAGCTATACATCTATTTTCTAGCTAATAAATCCATTGAGCCCTACTCAAATTTATGCAGTGGCATTTTGTTAGGGCATTTTTTTTTCATATCAAGTTACAATCCACTGATGCAACTACTGTCCGCTGATATCAACAGAAAGTTTGATTAACGTAATTGGGCACTGAATCAGCCTCTCAGGCCATGTCCAAACTAGCACTGACACTTGGTTTCGCAGGGAAAAAGTTTGGGACTTAACATATCCAGAAGCAAGCAATGAGAATGTATAATTGTCAATGTAGAAAAGGGAATTGTTAATTGCAAATTAAAGTAACAAGAGAATACTGACCTTGCCCTTCACCATAACTCGGATATAAGTTGGCTGAACATCAACGTCAATAAGAGAAGTGTCCATATGCCTGCAGAATGAAATAATGCATTTAGTTTACATTAATTACCTTATGCTATATCAGAGGGCAGGAAAACACAGTCAAGACTACAAAACCCATTCTTGATGATTTTCCAACTTGTAAAAATGCAGTTTGTTTTATTGTAACTAATGTAATTAAGCTATATGAAATAATCACAGATTTTAAGCTCTTTGGGACAAGAATATCTTCCTGTATGCTTGTATAGGGCGCCTAGCAAAATGTAGCCCAAAATATTTTTAGAGTGTTGGATTGCTACTCTAATACAAACACTAACTATTAATACTGAGAATTAGAAATCCTAATGCCAAGTAGGCAGTTTTTTTCTATTTGTCTAGCTTTCATTTCTGTTTCTTGCTCACAGTGTTGGTCGTTTTCAACTTAATATCGTCTATCTTGCCACTTTCCTTTCTAAAAGCTTAATTGGTAAGTTTGCAATATGAATTCTTTTTGCACTGAGTCTGCAGGAAATCAATGAACAGAAATAACTTCCACCAATGCTAGTGTCAGCATTTTCACATTTCAGTAATGTTGAATAATGCTTGCAAGCTGTACAGAATCCCCCTTGATTAACAACTCCTACTGAGTGATCCATCCACTATTGTTCTTTACACCCCGCCCTGAAGGCACAGCTCAGCTGTTTCGCCATTTTTCTTCTGTGACACCTTCTTTACCTCTTACATGTTTTTTTTCAAATTTTGTGAGGACTGCTTTCCTCAGTGAAGAGCATATAATACAACTTGCCAGATATCAAATCTTACTCCAATCCAGAGTAGCATTTCCACAACTTAAAAATATCATTTTTCATAACTCAGCGACACTGGAATATACCTGTTTTGTGGCAAGATAGCTTGCCATAAGTGTAAATGAAAACTATCTTCCAATGAAGAGCACTTTCTGATTATTTAACTACCAGTAATATCTGTTCAAGCTTTTTTCTACCAAAATTCAATCAATAGGGAGGGGAAGAAGCATGAATACAAGATAAAGAGAATGGGTCCTCTTTACTTCCTATGTAGAAGGGAGACTAGGGATTTTGTGTCCTGCTACTAAGTCACTGCTGAGGGAAACCATTATGAAGAGTCCAGCAAGAAGCATTGTCTGTGAGGCCCCAAATCCCAACCACAGATTTGAGAGTAGATTTCATTTCTTTCCCCGCCCTCTGTTCCCTTCACAAAATCCTAGTGTATAGGGAAGGGTTAATGTGTAATACTATGTATTGGAATTTGGCAGCAACAAGAAACACCCTCAGATAACAGAGGATAAAATAGGTAATCATGCCGACCTGTAAACAGCAAGATCTAGGATGAATTGGTTGTTTTCTTCATCATCTTTCAAAGAGAAATGAAGCCTAGGAAGACAAGAAACATATTCAGCATAAATAAAATTGGTTTGAGCAGGGAGCAATTCAACTGCTGGCATTTTTAAAATTAATATAAACATCATTTAGACAATGTCATATGCTCTTTTTGGAAACATCTGCAACTTAACTACACAAACATGCACACCTGATGTTGGAACCGGGTTCTGTTTTACTTTTCTTTTTGCTTGTTCTTTTTTTTACTGAAAACATAATTGAAAGTACAGTGCAAGGTCAGGTTCTTTCTAATTCAACTCTCAATGCAGGAAGAGAGACATCTGCTGGTGAAAACTTTTGTAGATTAGACAATGTGGCTGTATCCAGTACGCCCACATACCTGCATTACAGATGTCTAGAGCAGAGCTTGATTTTCATATATTTTTTCACATATCATCATCTCTAACAGCTGCACAAAGTTAGTTACAAATAAGCAACAGAAAATTATACTAGCTAACAGAAAATCCCCCTTGCTTGTGATCTGTTAATTTCCTCTGATTTCGAGTGATCATTAAAGCTGTGACAAGAACCTTGGATATTCAGGAGGAGGAAAGTACAATGCATAATATTAATAATAGTAACGTGTATGGAATTTTTCCTTTTCTAAAAAGATCTGGAAGACCTTCTCTTTTAAAAGCCACAAAAAACAGCTACACCTCTTGTTTCACAGTTTCATAGTTGGTAGGGTCAGAAGCAGGTCATCAAGTCCGACCCCCTGCCCTGGCAGGAAAGAGTACTGGGGTCAAACGACCCCAGCAAGGTGATTGTCTATCCTCCTTTCGAAGATCCTCAGGGTAGGAGCAAGCACCACTTCCCTAGGAAGTTGGTTCCAGCTCCTTACCACCCAGACAGTGAATTAGTGCCTCCTGATATACAGCCTGAATCTACTCTCAGTCAGCTTATGGCCGTTATTCTCTGTAACTCCCGGCAGTGTTTGGGGAAACAGGGACTCTCCCATTGCTTGCTGGTCTCCCTTGACAAGTTTGTAGGTGGCCACCAGATCCCCTCTCAGCCTTCTTTTGTGTAGGTTGAACAGGTTCAGGTCCCGTAGCCTCCGCTCGTAGGGCCTGCCTTGCTGCCCCCTGACCATGCGGGTAGCCCTCCTCTGGACCCTCTCCATGCTGTCCACATCCCTCCTGAAGTGCAGCGCCCAGAACTGGATGCAGTACTCCAGCTGCGGCCTGACCAGTGCCGCATAGAGGGGGAGGATCACCTCCTTGGACCATGCATCTATGGATGCATGACAAGGTGCAGTTAGCCTTCCTGACTGCGCCCCCACATTGGCAGCCTATGTTCATTTTGGAATCAGTG